ACATACATACATACATACATACATACATACATACATACATACATACATACATACACACATACATGACGTAGGCAAGAGGACAGGCAAACAGACATTCAAGCAGGAAATAAGACAGACAGACAGACAGATATTTTAATACTTAGATTATATGGTATCATATTACTTGGTGTAGATTTATAGACTCTTCGTTCACCTTGCAGTTGGAGAGCATGGGTTTGATTGTCAACAGTTTTAGATCTGTTGCCGAAATTCTCCGTCTGTTTATCACAGCGTAGTTTTCTTAACGCAGTCTGGATTATTTGAGACAGATAGGGACAAATCAATCTGTAGCCAACGAGACCCAATTATGTTTATGGCCGGACAAACAATTAAAGCCAGTAGCACGAACAGGACGACCATTGTCATTATGTCTCTAAAGGTGGCGGAAGAGTGGAGAGGTACGTCGCCTTGGTGAAAAGGGATAGTGTGTGGGTTTGGGGAGGATAGGGGGAATAGAGGTATTATGCAATGAACAGATTACGTCAGGCGAATGAACGGGCTTAAACTGGATAAGGGGGCTCTCGTGGCCTAGATATTAAGGTGTTGGCCTCTCATTCAAAAGTCCTGGGTTCGAATCCGGGTAGCGACCGAAAAATTTTCTTCTCTAAAATTGTCTCCTTTCACCTGTTTTCCTGCTCTCTAGCAATATTCTGTCGTCTGCTTTCGTCTCCTCTTTCTGCCCCCCCCCTATCTCACCTCCTTTGCCCCCTCCTCCTTTTTCTGCAGCCTTTCTACTGCTATTCCTTGGCTCCTTTTTACTGCTGCCTTTCAGCTACACCCCTGATCTTCTGATAGAAAAGATCTACACCCAGCCTGCTCGGACAAGGGCGAAAAATTTCTGAGGGCCCGTGTGCAAGTTGCGCACGTTAAAGATCCCTTGGTTGTCTGAAATCAATAAGAGTAGGTTTCGGCCTCCACCCGGGCAAAATTCAAAATGTTCTACCTATTGAAAATGTTTAATGTGTCCCGCGCGCTCATATGACGTTATGCAGTTGCGAGCACCGTAAAACACTTACCCCCCAAAAGGTGGATAACATTTCTCCATCCCCTGTGTCTGTCTGTTTGTCTGTCTGTCTGTGGCTTTGCCAGTCTTTCTTCCCCCTCTCTCTGCCCCTCCCCCTCTCTTTCTCTCTCTCTCTCTCTCTCTCTCTC